AAGCGGGAAGCAAGCCAGAACGGAACCAAAACAGAAGTGAGGGACCGTGAGGTCCCCACGACCTATGGAGGGATGGTGGTTTGGGCCGTCCAATTTTGCAGATGGTAGCCACATGGGGCGAAGTACGAAGTGGTCGAGCACATGGCTGGCGGGGCAAACCCAAAAGGAAAAACCCACCGGATCCGGCTCCGGTTGAAGGTTGAAGCGCATCCGGAATCACGATTGATGTCGCTCCAACTCTCATTCCACAATTTGCCACGTTCGGCGCACTGCTCTCTACTCGGGCCAAGCTGACTCGACTGCCCACGACAAGAGACTAGCCGTGATCGACTGGCCGCAATCGACTGGCCGCAATCGACTGGCCGCGATCGACCTACGCTACGTAGCTAACCGTCCCGAAGTCAAGATCCGCATGCGCCAGCCCCCTTTTTGGTGCTTTCCAACGAGCCGCAAGGAGCTTATCAAAATGTCGCTCGATGGCGCACAATCTCGCCGCACTCCTCGACTCGTCGAACCACCGGAGTCTGATCGGACGACCGGTGGTGGCGGCGGCGGAGGGCCGGGAGGCGACGGGACTTCGTGGAGGCAGGGCGACCGCGCCCGCGGGGCGAAAGCACGGGAGGGCCAGCGTCATCTCCTTGACGGCCGCCGGGGAGCTCGACGTGCCTTGAATCGTCGAGGGGCATTGGGTGCCGAGCGCGCGAAGAGCGGCGCCATCGGCGCGACCACCGACCGCTGCCAGCGACCGGCACCAAGGGTCAATAATCTGATTATTGACCCTTGCCGGCACTTACACAGCAAAGGACGTGAGACACAGGGCGCACAGCACGCCGGATACAAACAAGATATATATTAAGTGCATAAAGCCGATGGCGGGATGCGGTGTTCACACTGCAAATATCAAACGGCGCACATGCTGGATGAACTCCATGGACGTCACCTTGATGCCGAGCTTGTCTGACGCTTCGATGAGAGACGCCAAGTCTTCGACACCGAGTTCTTCCTTGCGACCACCGACGAATGTGATCTCCCACTTGGTAACGGTGCCGACGTGGCAATCGGTCACGGTACCGAGTACGACAGTCTGCTTGCAACGCCCGCTTTCGGGGTCTCGCTCGCTGGTGGTGAGGACTCAGCCAACGGCCCACCCGAAGCTAGTCATTGGCTTCTTCAACAGGCGTGTCATGGTCGCCGCCTTGGTGAAGACCTTACCCCGCGTCGTCTTGGAGAGGCTGTGGCCATCTTGGCGGGTTTTTCTGGTGTCTTCCGGACTGGGATCGCCGTGAGAGCAGCCTTGAGGTTTATGTCCTTGCGAAAACGGGCGACGATGTGGCTGCAGAAGCTTCCGTTCTTGAAATGGCCTTCGCATTCACACGAGAACTTGGAGGTAATCTTGCGAATCTATCACGAAATCAATGGGTTTAGAGATCTGCGTGTAGCAATGCAAATGATCACCTGTTCGACCGACCAATGGGCAACGCTGTTCATGGCGTCGAGGGTAACGGTTTCATCGACTCGAACGCGATAGAGCGAGAGGTACAGCTTCCGGATGTCGCCGATCGCGTTCAATCTGTCAAGCTCCCCACGCAGCGACGCATTGTAGCTATGAAAGGGTTAACGCGTTGCAAAACAGAGATGCACACGCACCGGCGGACCCGCGTTTTGGTCACTGTCATTTCTTCCGTTGCGGCACCCGACTTGTCGATGCGGTACTCAGAGGAGTTGAAGATGTAGCCGAGCATCTTGTCGCCTTCGACCCACGCCATGTAGTTGCGACTTGAGGCGACGATTGCCATGGCAGCCTTGACCACCTCGGCGCAGAGCGCACCAGAGCAGAGGTTGCTGTACGTCTTGGTCTTTTGGTGCGGAAGCGGCATGGCAAGAATATCTAGTCATCAAAATATGAATGCTGCAACTTTTTCAGCGCCACGGCACCTGGAAGAGTGACGTTGTGAACGTAGGCTGTGGTACCGTCATGCGTGTGAGGTGTCGAGTCGCTGTATGCCTGCAAACTACTCGATCCCTGGGATTTCCTCTCCCATTTCCTCTCCCAACGGCTCCAGACCAAGCACGGGCACCACCCGCATTTCATCAGACAGGGCACGCCACCTGTACCCTACCAGATGAATGTGGTCCAAAACTTTTGAATCCCAGCTCTGAGTCTTCATTTTTATATCAAAAGGACGTTATAGATCGACTGTTCTGTCCACGACGAAGAGATGTATTAGAACCGATCGCAATGAAATGAAAAACTGACGAAGTTATGGGCGTTCAAAGTTGGGCATCACAGGATCACGGAGTCCGAAATTGTTACAATTTTTTTGACCGGATAACATGGAGCCCCCTCCGGATAAGGCCCACCGGCGCCGGATGAGGTGTCATTATCCGGATAACGAGCTCTCTCAGCCATGGTCATGTAGGAATTGCCGGCAACCTCAAGGACGTTCTCCAGATCCTCATGGCCATGCTCATCTTCCACGACAAGCTCAGTGCTCTCAACGTTGCGGGGCTTTTTGTGGCGACGACGGGCCTTGTCTTGTACTCGTACATCAAGGCGCGACCGTCGTCATCGTCGCCGGCCTATGCGCTCGTGCACCTGGACGACGTCGATATCGAAGACGCCAACGAAATGCACGTCAAGTGAGCACGCTAGTATACTCTCCTATTCTGTATCCTGTCTCCTACACTACCTCTACGACGACTACGACTACGACGGCGACGACGACGACTAGAGGCCGCCACAGACCGCGGCGAGCAGCGCCTGGACCGTCGGACGTTTGTGCCAATCGAGGTGCAAGCATTGCCGTATCAGATGCTAGTACAAGTGCATGAGACGACGCAAGCTGCAAGCAGTAGCGACTCTACCTGGGCGTCGGCGGGGACGTGAGCGGGGATGTGTAGCGTCGGACTCGCTCGGTACATCTTCATGCGCTCCGTCATCTCGGGCTTACTGGCCTGCGTCCCCAGCGGGTGGGCGTGGCACAGCAGCATGTAGAAGATGAGCCCGATCGCCCACACGTCAAACTTCTCATAGGTCGCGCCGAGGCTAGTAGCTTCGCTTGGCGACAAGAGGTACCACTCGGGCGGTGCAAACGCTGGCGACGCGTTCTGGCCCACGAGGATGATTGCGTGCTTGCGCTGCGAGAGGTGAAAGTCGGTCAAGCGCAGTTGCGCGCCGGCGATCGTCGCCAAGAGCACATTGGCCGGCTTGAGATCGCAGTGCGCCATGCCCTTCTACATGCAACAGCCGAAGATGATGGTGCGGTAATTCAAGAAAATGCGAGCGATACCTGGTGGACGTAGTCGAGGCCGAGGAGCAGTTGGAAGAGCAAGTGGCGTGCGAGTCCCATCTCGCAGGGCCCGCCGAGGTTCTACGTGAGAGCTTGTTAAGGACACGCATGAATGGAGACGAGAGAATCGCACCTCCATGAACTGGTGCAAATCGCACTCCATGCGGTCCATGACCATGAGTGAGTATGGCGCACCGCGATGGGATGTCATGAGCAGGGGACCGTGGACGTGAACCGTGTGCTCGGACGGCAGGAAGAGCTACAATCACGCAGAGTGGGCGAGAGACATGGACGATGTGATGTACCTGGTGGTGTCGGAACTCGATCTCGGCTTGGTGCAGCTTGGTGCAGATCTTGATGGCGCAAAATGTACGCGTATGCACGTCGTAAGCTTCCCAAACTTCCGAGTTGCCGCCTTGGCCGATGAGCGCCTTGAGCTGGTAGCGATCGTGCAAGAACGGGAGGCTGGCAAAGGCCGTGGCTACAGTGACCGTTAAGCAGGGCAACCAAAGGAGAAGGCGACGTACTCGCGTGCAAGTGGACGCGCTTTTCGTGGCGGCGAAAGTGGGCCTTGGCCACCTCGAGCGCGCTCACGTTCGCCGCGTACTTGTCTTGGAGTGACCGGATGTACGCGGCAAACATGGCATTCGACATGTCGCCCGCGCTCAGCGTGCGCTTGACGTACAGGTCCTCGAGCTGCACGTCGCGCTGCCGCCGCTCAATGTCGCTCCCGAGCTCCGCGAGCGCGTGCTTCATCGTCAACGTCGCCGCTTTTCGAACGCCTGGCGCCACTCGACGCTGGCCGCGGGTGGTGACATAGACACCGCGCCTTTGCAGCTAAGGCCATGCATCTGCTGCTGGATGCTTGTCACGCCATCGTCCCAGCGAATGCGCTGCTCGACCGGCGTGCCCACGAGCATGCCATTGCCCGCGTCAGACCAGTGGACCTGTTTGTCTTCGTAGACGCCGACGGCAAGGATGTCACCGCTCGTGTCCATCGCGTCGCCGTCGATGAGCTTGGGCGCGACGACGGTCTCGGAGATGTCCATGCTGCTGCTGCTGCTTGCCGCTTCCAAAGATCGCAACAGGCTCAGTCGCCGGTGAGGGCCGATCGTATCCGGAAAGGCCAGTCCCGCGAAACTCCCCAATACAAATGCGCCCTTCGCCCGCGACTTTTTCCGGATACGACAGCTTCTCTAGTTGGGTGCATTTAGCCACAGTGGGATGCATGAGCTGGCAAGCGCCCATCGCGCAGCTGAAGCGAGGAACGGTCTCGTGGCAGTACTGTGTAGAAGGGTCATCACGCCTCATTGACACATGCTCCAGCCAAAGGCGCCATGGAGTTGCGGGCCTCGCGCGGCGAAAGGCGCGGCAGCTCGGTAGCCAACGCGACGCGACGCCTCGCCATTGGATCGCATCTGTCTGCGATGGCGCGGAGGGCCTGGCTGTCGCTTCGTCCTGATAGCGTTCAGCACTTGCGAGTGCTATAGCCGTCGCAAGAAACGCCGCAACGAGAGAGGAAAACACAATCAGCAAGGGGTGTTACTGCTGCACAACTAGGATGCTACAATTCCTTGGTGTTGCGGCGGCGAAACTCGGCAAAGTCGCCCGAGCGCGTGATCGGGTTCTCTTGGAGGTGGGCCCACTCGACGCGGTGGCTGCGAAAGTCCGTGCACGCCTTCTCATCGCGGCGGAAGATGTTGTGGCGCTTCTCCTTGTCGAGCGTCACGTCCGGGCTGCGTGCAAGGTGGCGGACGCCCTGGAAGGTCGCGAGCACGGCCGCGCTGCCCAAGATGGCAATGATCGGGTACGTCGCGGGGTCCGAGAACCACGCCGACTTGCGGACAGGGCGCGTCGCTCGGATCGTGGCCATTCTACTTCGTTGGTGGCAAATGGAAAATGGAAAATGAAAATGGAACCGCTCCAAGCTTCGATAATATTGCATCGATCCTGGCGAATATATATTGGCGCGTAATATGCGGCGCCCCGTGGTGACCATTGGGCCAAATTAACTTTGCGCCATGCGATTGGTCCGATCTTTTTGATCGCTTTCCTACAGGCGCGAAGGACGACAAGATACCGACAAGAGGCGAGCAAAGCCTGCTCTGAGCTCTCTGGGCGAGGCGCTGTGCTTGAACTTGGTGGCGTAATCAGGTCCAGCGAACGAGACGGACCCAGGTTGATCGAGTCTGCAAGTGCCATCGAGAGATCGCAGTCGAGATATTTAACTTACAAATACATTAGATTAGTTTCATGAGCACTTTACGCGTGGCGCTGACGAAACTCGACAAAGTCGTCGTTGCGCGTGATCGGGTTGAGTTTCAGATGGGCCATGTCGATGCGGTGCGACCGGAACGACGCGCCTTCGTCATGCGACCGGTGAAAGATCACGCCACGCTTCTCCTTGGAGAAGGTGACATCGGGGCTGTTGGAGAGGTACCGGAGACCGGCAAAGGTCGACATGCCCGTGGCAAACGTGATGATGCCGATGATCGGGTACGTCGCGGGGTCGGAGAACCACGTCTTGATGACAGACTGGGTCGCGCGGGCAGTGGTCGAGGCCATCGTTGTTCTTCTTGGTAGTATTGGTGGTGGTGAGGATCAAGCAAATGCTGGAATGAGGTGCAGAAGGCGCGCCAAAAAGACAAAGATCGTTTTCAAAAACACGCAACGAGCAGAGAAAAACCGTGAAATTGACACGCGCGTTTCAGTGTATATCCGGATGTCTGGTCGTCGTCATACAAATTGGTAATGAGATGACCTTTCGCATCCGGATAGACGTGGCGCGCACCGTGTCAATGCAACCGCCAGTGCAAGTCGCGTGTCTTTGGTGTTGCGATCTTCCGCAGCTCCATGTTGGCGC